CGCCTGCTCCACGAGGTGTGCCACAAATTGAAGTCACTTTTGAGATAGACGCCAATGGAATTTTAAAGGTGTGCTTAAAATCATTTTGCTTTCTCGCATTCATTGAGGTGCCTGCCTCTTTCAAGGTGTACTCGTTGAATAAGCACTATTTTACCTTGGGCCTGGTGATCACCGACAAATTTCCTCTTGTTTTATGCTCAGCTTTTGATGTAGAGTACCTCGTCATTTAGACTCCAAATCTCTTGCCAAACACCAATTATCCCAGTCTTGTATAGTCTGCACCAATTTCGAGTATTTCTGGGCGAGAAAAGGGCTCTTCTGTCTAACTTGCTTTTAAAGGTCATAACTTCTGATGGAGGTATGCTAAAGTGGCAGTCTCCTGCATATTGGATTCAGATTTGAGTATATTCGAAGATGGATGAGGCTGAATCAAGCCTCATTCTCATCAGCGCCCTTAACGAGCTTCGAATCTGTGTCGTTTATTTTTTGGCGATGTAAGTACTTTACTAAACATCCACTGGTGCCAGAAGCTCATACGAAAAATAGGGCAATCAAACATCCTAGGCATCTTCTAAATCACATTTGTAGATGGTTTGTTGATTAAGTCAACATGTGAGATGCATTTGCCATGTTTCGTTTCAGGTGATGAAGGCCTGGTAGCTGATTTTCCCCAGGTGCGTTCCTCTATAGCTTACTACCAATATGACCGAGTTGCGAAAACAAGGTCAAACAACTTCTAAATTATTTTACAAGATCTTAAGTCAGTCAAAGTGTCTGGCAGTAATTTAAGGACTAATGGTTGGATTTACATACAAGTTCCTATAAAATGTGATTTTGGAAAGACATGGTATGTCTTGATATTCATATTTTCCCTGTGATCCACTGGCACCGGTGGCTATGTGATGGACGGGGGTAACTGGTCGCGACTCCTCACTCACGACTCTGCCTTAAATCGCTTTGGGTGTCACGATGAGGCCAGACCCAGTTGAGATGAAAACTGCAGTCCAACCTGGATGTGAACCTCTTTTGGGAGAAAAATTTCGTGAACTCATTAGCATTGTGAGGAATAATCATTTCATGTAAGCATGCATATTTATTTATTATAAGTAATTAAGTATACGCTGTTATGTAAAGTACAGTATAAGTCTCTAAATCACACAAAACCGCTTAGGGTAGTCTGTACTTTTCCACTTTTTTACTATGTATTATTTCTCCCGGATCTGCATCTGGACATTGAGAACACTTAACTGGAAGCGGATTCCACCCTTCCCATCAGATTCCTTCCTTCGTGCATAGAGCATCAATTGGTTGCGCAGCCTCAGGCTCATACACACTTACAGTCAATTAACTAATCCTCCATACTCTTGTCCATACGCTTACCGTCAATCACCCCAGCACCAATCTCTGAACCAAAATAACCTCTATTCATTTCTCACAAAGAAACCTTGGCGGCTATTCCAGGCCCAAGCCTGTGTACTTCACCCCACTCCACCAACGGTGCCCTCCTTACTACTGCCTGGCTCGGTAGCTTGTACGCCTGTGCCCTACTCGCCCAGGCACAAGAGAGGCTGGTGCTTCTGCAAACCATGAGACACCCATGTTTCTGCAAAGCCTGGTTAGCCCAGCCAAAAGCTCCAGGCTCACATAGTACCAGCTTCTGAAGACCTGTCAACGCCCGTCGGGCGTAGCAATGTAACAGTTGTTCTACTAAGCACCCACCATCACAGCTCTAAGTCCCCTTCCTCCCTACCTGCCTCAAAGTTTCTAGCAAAGTAAGATAAACACTATCTATTCCGAGGCTTCAGTGGCAATATTGTGTTTTCCCCTTATTTCATGCAAGACTACATCATCCTGACTTTTTTTATTATTTTCATTCTACATAATTCGCATAATTAACTGCCTCGGTTGTGACTGAAGCCTAATATCACCTAATTTAATGTCACTACGTTAGCTTAAGCAATATGTCCCGCATATTTTGCATACCAAGTCAGTTAATTGAGTACGCCTGAGCACATCTAGCGATACTTTGTGTGCATGTGTATCAGAAAAACAAGCCAAATTAACAGACGAAGCACAAAACTGTTGATACATTTGGCGCACAAGAGAATGAGAAAAGTCTGAAAGAGGTCATGGAGAAGCTCGACAAATATTTTCCTCTCGTAAATTTAGCAAAGATAGACAAACCAGATCTTCTGATTGCAGTGCTTCTAGACTGAGAAATTAAAAGTGCAGCATCAAAGTTCGTATTTCGCTGAAAGGACAGGCTCGTGACTTGTTTCGTTCTGTTCGATCGCAGCCGCTTGTGCTTTAGCGATAAGAGGTTGCAAGATCTCCTCCAAAGCCAGTTTTTTGGCCACAAACACTGATTTCTCAAGTGTTAAATCGGTCTTGTGAGCATCCAACCAGTAGATGGCAGTCTCAAGGGTGGATCGTATCAATGCCAGATCGGTTGGGGCTATCCAGCTCATGAGTGAACCACCCGGCAAAGTCGTTAGTTGGCGGGTTGTGTAGACGTACATTTCGAGCTCAGATACTGCTTTCAGCCGGTCTTGAAGCTATAGAAAGGGTATAGAAAGTTAGGAGACAATACAAAGGGCGAAATAATGAGCAGAAGAATTAACTAAAAAGAAAAGAAAAAAGGATAAATTTTGATTGTATATATTCGTATATATGAACAAATTCAGTGTTATACTTTAAACGGCGATAAAATGTAACCGACTGGGAAGGCTTATGCACAAGGCTGGAGCGAACCCTGCTAAGCCTCTAACAATTGCAGTGTTTTGTTTTTCCTAAACATAATTACATGTGGATATAGCTTTTTAAACTTAAAGAATTACTGGAATAGAGAAAGCCTGTA